AGAGAGAGAGAGAGAGAGAGGGGGGAGAGAGGAGAGTGTGGACATAGGGATCCACACTGAATGGTGACTATTAGTTTCACGCGTTAGTAAGATCTTCAAACCAGTTTGGTTTCATTGAGATTTGCTAATTTATATGTCGACATTTTATAACTAGAAATGTATTTCCCTATAAATATCACAAATTTTAAACAGCACACGCACACACTCAAACCTACAAACACACACACATATATATATGTTTAATATGCTACTGATAAAAGGTAATATATTGATTGTTTCTGTTTCATAAGTAAATTCTATTCTATGTTTGAAATTTATTTTATGTACATGATGAAGTAATATTATTTTATGGGGATACATTAATAAATCTTCATCAGTACATCGAAAATATATTGATTGTTTAAATAAAATATCTTGAAAACGATAAAATGCAAGATAGGAGGAAAAGCAAATGCGTAATAATTATCGACTTCTCGAGAGAAGTCGTTGAATTTTTTTTAACCATTATTAATTCTTTACTTCTTTATATTCTACACATTATTTGCAAAATCGGCTTGTCTTGAAGCGTTAAATTTAAGTAATATACATTATACATACATACATATATATATATATATATATATATATATATATATATATATATATATATAAGGCAGGATGTGTGTGTGTGTGTGTGTAACGAATGCACGACCGCAATTTTTGACAGATTTGCACCAAAATTTACATGCACATGCTCCAAGTTAGCAGTAAGGCCAAGACCGACATTGCATTTCCCAACTCCCATCGATAGTGGAAATAATCGATTTTTTCATGCTTCTACGGCAGTTTTCATGTAGTTTGCGGCCATTTTCTACTGGCCAGATTGAGAGCCTATAGCTGGCTGCCACGAATAGACAGGAAGATTCTATTGGCCAGCGTGAGAGTCAACAGCTGACTGACAAGAATGTTAACTAGCATGCTAGCATGCAAAAAATCGATACCTGCATTTGTCACAATTGGGAAAAATTTAAATCTGCATGGCACTTTACTCCAATTGGCTCATTTGCTCATTTGCTTGCTTAAACTCAACGTTGATTCTGATTCCGCAGAACTGGGTTGGGTGTGAAAAAGTATTTGTTGTTAACATTCTTTTTTCATTCGGTTTTTCCAGCTACGAGTCCTTTTTTTTTAAAGCTGATCGTTTTGTGTTCATTTTGTTTAGTTCTTTTTTCGTAACAGATTTAATGTTTAGTATAGGGCTTAGAAAAATTCGCAGTGTGAGATAGGCAAGAAGTAAGGCATGTAGCAACATCAGCACGGAAAAAGGGCACTCTTTTAAAGGCAAGGAAGGGCAAAAATATTTTAAGTCAAGTGATAGCGATTGGTGTAGGAGTCGTACGATTTTTGAATCAAGCACGGGCAACGCCGGGCCATGCTGCAAGTATATATATATATATATATATATATATATATATATATGCGTAAACAATCTCTCTCATTATTACTACCGCAGTTGTTAGAATATGCAGCATAGAATACCAAGATGGCGAAGATAAATACACTGAAAAAAAAAGTTTAAACTTCTTTCGTATCCACATCATTTCATTCTTAACACTTTTAATCGAGCTTACGAAATCTACAATTCCCAAAACGTGGACACCTCTAATAACGAAAATACAAAATTCATTACCCTACCCTTCAAAGCTCTATCAATAAAATTTGATAACAAAATAATTATCCCAAATACTAAGATCATTACCACCGCTTCCTAGACAATCAAAGTCAAGATGTACAGTATAAAAATGCGAGAAATGTCAGATGAAATATATAGGCGAAAATTCTAAAAATTTGAAGACCCGTTTCTATGAACATAAGAGCAACTTACGTTTGGACAACCATTGAAATTCTTTTGCAACACACAAGAATAAAACAGACCATAATTTCGAATTAAATATTTACAAATACAAAATACTTAGGAGTGTTGTTAAATACGAGGGTAGGTTAAAATGTTCATAGTACGACTAAGAATGATGCTAGAGATATTAAATCTTTACATGTATTAATTTCAACTAACAATCTAATGTCCTTGAAGACATCTGTGTATGAATTTCTAGGTATTACAAACCTAATGTCTTCAGCAACCATTCGGTATTCAGCAAGGACACATAGCACAGTGGATAAAGGTGTTAGTTAGATCCAGTGACAGGACCCAAAGCGTGTGAGTTCAATACCCGGTTAAGGCTGTGTAGAAATTTGAGAAGGGAATTAACAGGAGATAACTGACATCCATTAGACATTGTACGTGGAACTAGAACAATCTACCCCAGTGAGCGAAATAAAGGGTTAAGTTCGACATTCCAACCAGCCGAAACGTTGTGATAAACATGGCGAAAAAAGATGAGTCAAATAGTTCAAATAATGTAAATAGTGTACATAATACTTCATCTCAGAAATATAGACAAATACAGTCAGATGTCAGTTAGCCTGGAAAGAAACAATGTATTTATTATTAAGAATGAAATTAACGCATGCAATATTTCACAGCTCTAGCCTGAATCCTTAACAGTCAGTCTATGAATCTATCAGCGGACTCTCGTATATTCCAATCAAGAAACACGCGCCAAACTCACTCTATTATATCAGGAACTTTTATAAAATACATATTTAAAGAATCTAAGATTCATTTGCCTACAACCATAATCGGTGTAACCTCATTTTTTTTCACCACCACATAATACTTCCCCAATCAATATGCTGGAATTTTTTTCAAACAAAAAAAAAAAAACATTCATTAGAATCACACGTACGCACACACATTGTCAACTAATTCCGGTATAGAATTGTAATACACATATAGACATTAATGATACAAAGGAACGCTGCCGAACATTAAAAAACACGTGAAATCTATTTAACCAATAAAAAGCAACCAACACAAAAAATTAAAAATACCTGATTTTTTTCTGATGTAGGTTTAATAAAAGCGAAACATGTTAAATGCATAAACGTTAACTATTTTTAGCATTTTGTAGCAAACACATATTTGATGACCTGAAGATTTCGTTCAAGCATCATCAAACGGACTATTTTAGATTTAAATACGCTTTATCCTTGCTATTGAGCCTTTTTACCCATAAATACAAAAGCTCTTAAAACAATATTTGTATCATATATATAACTGATGCCAAATCGGTCGGGTTTCGATCCCCGCTTGAAGCAATTGAACGTCTAGCCACACTGAAGAGCTGTAATAGAGCGAAGCAGTCTATCCGTGGATGACTATATATATATATATATATATATATATATATATATATATATATATATATATATATATATGCTCTTGGGAGAAAAGGCTAATTCAAAAAAATTAAAAAAAACAAAACAGTGGCTGCTACTGCTATTAACGCATTGCTCTTCAACTATGAATTGAGCTCTCCTGGCTACTGGCGATTTCATATAGAAAACATTAAAATTTCCCTTTCTCTCCGCCGTGCAATCTTAGGGTAGGTGTAGGATCTCTGACTGATGCCAAATCGGACAGGTTTCGATCCCGGCTTGAAGCAATCGGACGTCTATCCACACTGAAGATCTGTGATACAAAGAAACAGTCTATCTATGGATGACTCTCTCTCTCTCTCTCTCTCTATATATATATATATATATATATATATATATATTAATTTCTTAAATATATATAAGAAATTTGCCAAATGGATAACGTTTCACAGAGAAGAGATTTGATTACGTAAATTGAATCATAGTACTTTTCCCCTAAGCTGACATTTCTCATGATTAAAGAAGAAAGAAGATGAGTGACTTAAAAAAAACGTTAATAATTATTTTGTATCTTTTCTTTATAATTATTAATACATGTCGAAAGTTGTTAATATATTTTCTCAGCTTTTTTGTATTGAATTAAAAGGTAAATCCTCATCTCATTTTCGGAATGCCTCGAAAGCAAGAAATTCATATAGCCTTTACTGAAACGAATTCAAGGCAAATTCTCTTCCACTCCTTGAGAATGATTTGAAAATAAAAGATTACAGCTTAGGGAAAAAAAAAAGAAAAACACACATATCTTTCTTTCGTTTTTGGATCTGATGAAGCCTTGAAAGTCGAAACGCGTATTCAAATCTATTTTCAATGAAACGTTTTCTATTTGTCAAATTTCTTGAAAACTTTCTCGGGATTCTATATCATATTTTAATCACACACATATATATATATAAAGTCATACGATTAATATCCGTGTTTAATTTTATAAAACCTCTTCCCTTTAAGGCTAATACCTCTCACCCTCCCCTAACCACTAGCTCGTGCCTTTCGTCTGACTGAAACATTGAAATGGATAAATTCTGTATTAATTTTTCGAATGCTGACACAGTTAAATTTCTAATTCCGACACGAACTCAGTCTGTATACAGGGGTTGAATAAGACTGACGAAATTTTCGTCGTTTGAAATGAGTCTATTCCTCATATGAGGTAATTTTGGATTTATGGTTTACTACTATTTATTTGCTCTGTATAATAAGTACATTGAGCTCTTTTTGTGGACCAGTTTTAATATTTTCTATTACTAGGACCCACTTAGATTATATACAAAACGGATTTATTACTATATATATATATATATATATATATATATATATATATATATATATATATAGTAATTAATCCGTTGGTATATATATATATATATATATATATATATATATAGTAATAAATCCGTTGGTATATAATCTAAGTGGGTCTAATAATAGAAAATAATAGAAAATATTATATATATATATATGTGTGTGTGTGTGTGTGTGTGTGTGTGTGTGTGTGTGTGTGTGTGTGTGTGTGTGTGTGTGTGCATATGAGGAGGTCTTCTGCTTGGAATAACTTTGTAGTGGACATTTAATCAAAGGTGAAGAGAAAGCCAGATGAATTCCCCACTGCTGTAGTATATTGTCCGTGTAAATTGGTTATCTTTGCTGGAACCGAAGACGACCAAAAATATGTTTTGATCAGTCATATGCTTGAGATATCTCCTAGACGACTGTCAGATTAGAGATGTCAAGACTCTCACTGACGTTATTAACATTAGTAATAATCTGGCAAGGGTAAAAAATAGAAATAAGAAGAAAAAATAGAAACATTAACGTCATAACTCACTTAAAATATCAAGAGAGGTTTGGTTATTTATCAAGGAAACCGTTAAGATTTTCTTCCTTTCTTTTTTCTTTCTTTCTTTCGTTCGTTCATTCTTTCTTTTGTTCGTTTATTCTTGTTTACTTTTTTTTGTTCTTTCTTTCCTTCATTCTTTCTTGCTCGCTTGCGTTATTTTCTTTATTTCATTTGTTTTTATTTATTTCATTCTTTCCTTGTTTCTTTCATTTTTTTTTCTTTTTTGTTTGATGGTTTGATAGCTTTTTTCTTTGTGTTTTCTTTCCTTGTCTTTCCTTGTTTTTTCTTTTCTTTGTTTCTTTCCCATTTACATTTACCCTTTCTTTCTTTTTTTGTTTGTTTGTTTCTTTCGTTGTTTCCTTTATGTTTCATATTTCTTTGCTTCTAAGTTTCTTTTTCTTTCTTTTCATTTACATCTGTCCTTTTTCTTTTTCTTTTCCTTTTTTTGCTGTTTCTTCTTCTTCTTTTTTCTTTTTCTTTTCCTTTTTTTGCTGTTTCTTCTTCTTTTTTTCTTTTTCTTTTCCTTTTTTTGCTGTTTCTTCTTCTTCTTTTCTTTTTCTTTTCCTTTCTTTTGCTGTTTCTTCTTCTTTTTTCTTTTTCTTTTCCTTTCTTTTGCTGTTTCTTCTTCTTCTTTTTTCTTTTTCTTTTCCTTTCTTTTGCTGTTTCTTCTTCTTTTTTTCTTTTTCTTTTCCTTTTTTCGCTGTTTCTTCTTCTTCTTTTTTTCTTTTTCTTTTCCTTTCTTTTGTTGTTTCTTCTTCTCCTTTTTTTCTTTTTCTTTTCCTTTCTTTTGCTGTTTCTTCTTCTTCTTTTTTTCTTTTTCTTTTCCTTTCTTTTGCTGTTTCTTCTTCTTCTTTTTTTCTTTTTCTTTTCCTTTTTTGCTGTTTCTTCTTCTTCTTTTTTTCTTTTTCTTTTCCTTTTTTTGCTGTTTCTTCTTCTCCTTTTTTCTTTTTCTTTTCCTTTCTTTTGCTGTTTCTTCTTCTTCTTTTTTCTTTTTCTTTTCCTTTCTTTTGCTGTTTCTTCTTCTTTTTTTCTTTTCTCTTTTCCTTTCATACCTTCTTTCCCGCTTTCTTTTTTTCTTTTACTTTGTTTCTCTTTACTTTCGTTTTTTTCTTTCGTTTTGTTTTTTCTTATTTTTTCTTTTTCTTTCTTTCGAAATTTTTCTCTCTGTTCTTTTTTCTCAAACTTTCCTCCTTTCTTTCTCTCTGTATAATAGTTTCTCTCTGTATAATACTTTCTTTGCTTCATTTTTCTTATTTCTATCACTTGTGCATATCTACTTCCGTCAGTTTACGTCTCTCTGTCTCTTGGCGTATTCTCATTTTCTCTCGTTTTTATCTATACATAAACAATTACATCAAAATATATCGATATAATATTCTGTTTGATCCGATTTCAGTGTGGCCGGCTTGCATTTATTTGTGATTGGCGCCATTCCTCCATGTTTTACTTGTCTAACAAAAGCCGTACCTTAAATGAATTTCAAAGGAATCACCAAACCAAAAGAAAGATTAACGTTGCACAAACGCAAGACCTTATAAGATTTAACCCATGAAGGCGTGAAATCCAGAAAGAAACCGAATCTATAAAAACGTGATCCCAAAATCCATCAGGCAAATCTTGTGAAGTTTGAAATGAATGTACGTCTTCTTCACCTGAACACAGCTTAAGATAGAGGCTAAAAGAGTCATTTTGACGTTTAGTCGAAACTGTGAGGTTATTCCAGTGGAAAGAATGCTTGTCTTCTTTAGCGTTTCAAACGAGAGTGAATTTGATTTGCACTCAATGCTTCACAATTTGATGTTTAGTCGAAACAGTGTCGGATTTCTGTTCCATAATGTTATTCTAGTGGAAAGAAAACTCGTCATTTGAGCGTTTCAAACCAGAGTGAATTTGATTTTCACTCAATGAGTCACACTACTGTCCTTGTATATGGTTTAGTTATGCTTCATATAACTGTGTTATGTGTTTGTGTATGATATGTCCCGGGAAGGGATATATTTGTTCGAATTAGCAAAGTGGTTTTGGACTACTGTAACCGAGTAGGACAATCTAGCAGGTAACCGTAATGGACTGGTCCTCGTCGTAGTGGTAGGCAATAGGCATAGGCAATAGGCGTCCTGTACCTCCACATCAGTCTGTATTTATGGCTGACACCAGCCAATCATATTACTGTGAGGGGGAACCCAGGTGTATGCATATTCATTACATCAGTGTACAATGTGATTCTTCCACTTTCTTAAACGATTCTTTCGAATACAATGTTTTCATTATTCTTGTTTTTTTGCACTCTGTCAGTGCCCTTGATTATATCTTTCACCTCCGGTTTGTTTGCCCACTTTCACCGAATTGCAGATGGGGTAATAACAAATAAATAAATTGCCAATGTTCGATCCTCATTGGGAACCACGTATTTGTGTCCCTGAAGCTTACAAATCTAAAATTAAACCAGATTAAAGAAGATTGTTGAATTCAGAAAGGATAGAAATAAATCCCTTCAGCAAATAATCAGCTGTTGATAAATTTTAGGAGTTACTAGTAAAAAAAAAAATAACTGTTTACTAAGTCTTCAGAGTTACCAGTCTAGTAAGAAGTGTTGCGAGATTCTAAAATATTCAAATTGCTTTCCAAAGGATGTAAAATAAATTTGAAGTAGATTAAGGAACGTATCGATCAAAACATTTTGTTGAAAAAAATTAAAAAGAATAAGCCAGAGAATAAAAGGAAATAAAACATTCATGTCAGAAGCTCCCAGAAAGCCGAAAACTATATCGGCTGTAATGTTATAAAAATAAGAAAGAATAAAAAAATATACCGTATTTATATTTAAAGATTTAAAAAAAAATGTTCGTTTGAAAACCCTTTTCAAAATTCATTCAACATTATTGCAATATTTATTTTCGTAGGAATAGGTTGTCGAAGAGATATCGACTTGGAATGGGAACTCGGAGAGCCGAGTTCGAATTCCAGATGAGTTCATTGCATTCACTTACGTACAAATACACTTGGTAAAAGTATAAATGTATTTCTTCTGTTATGACTAAAATAGTGAGATTTCTATCTGGAAAAATCATACTTATCTCCTCAGCAATGGTTAATGCAATATGTCCTCGCAAAAAAAGAATTATTCCTACAATCCCAAACATGTTTCAGCTTTAGATAAACCATAAGGGGTTGATAAGTCCTAAAAAAAAATAAATCAATCCCGCAATCAATTAGAACGTGTGCTATGTGTGTGCGCTCATATAGAACTATTTCTATTTGTGGCAAGGTTTGTACTTGTTTAAAGTTTAAACTAGAATAAAATGTGATATGTGTATATAATAAAAGGTTATATATAAGTAACAAGTTGATTTGAACATTCACCAATATGAAGTGATCCAAAGGTAAATATATCGACTAGGATGTATATTTCATACTAGCAGCATGGCTCGGCGTTGCCCGTGCTTGATTAAAATATCGTACGACTCATATAGCAATCGCTATCACTTGACTTTTTTTTGCCCTTCCTTGACTTTAAATGAGTGCACTTTGCCGTGCTGATGTTGCTACATGTCTTACTTCTTGCCTATCTCACATTGCGAATTTTTTCTAAGCTCTATACCAAACATTATATCTGTTACGAAAAAAGAACTAAACAAAATGAACACAAAACGATCAGCTTTAAAAAAAGGACTCGTAACTGGAGAAACCAAATGAAAAAAGAATGTTAACAACAAATACTTTTTCACACCCAACCCAGTTCTGCGGAGTCAGAATCAACGTTGAGTTTAAGCAAGCGAATGAGCCAATTGGAGTAAAGTGCCATGCAGATTTAAATTTTTCCCACTTGTGACAAATGCAGCTATCGATTTTTTTGCATGCTAGCATGCTAGTTAACATTCGTGTCAGTAAGCTGTTGGCTCTCACGCTGGCCAGTAGAATCTTCCTACCTATTCGTGGCAGCCAGTTATAGGCTCTCACTCTGTCCAGTAGAAAATGGACACAAACTACATGAAAACTGCCGTAGAAGCATGAAAAGATCGATTATTTCCACTATCGATGAGAGTTGGGAAATGCAAAGTCGATCTTGGCCATCACACTAATTTGGAGTATGTACATGTAAATTTTGGTGCAAATCCGTCGAAAATTGCGGCCGTGCATTCGTTACACACACACACACACACACACACACACACACACACACACACACACACACACACATCCTGCCTTTTATAGATAGAGATTTGTAATATATTGTCTATATATGCACGAACTGTATTGGATTTTGACAAATGACAAGTCAACCTATAAGAGAGTGTGGTACATGTGTGGTCATTGCATGAATTTTATGTAGTTTGTGTATTGTAGATACACCCTCTCAAAGGTCATGACAATTTAGTGCAATTCGCGTACATATAGATAAATATATCACAAATAAGCACAATAATACTAACATAACATATTTTAATATATGTATGTTATTATACAGGTTATTTTTAGTGAGTACACGTATTTGAGTTGTTATCTCATTTTTTAAACATATATGCAGGTATATTTATAATTTAGAGATGTCGTTTAACTTTCAAATCTGACCATAATTATTTTCGGAAAGTTGACATTGCAGCGTGTATTTCTATATGATTCGTGTGTAGATAAAATGCTTAAATTTAAAATGTTTAAAAGTTAAAATGGAGTCAAAAGAGATGGATTTTCGTCATTTTATGCCTTTTTTATTTCCGGAATTAAAATATAACACTGTACAAATAGCCAAAAAAAAAGAAAAAAAAAAAGAAAAAAAAGGCGTGTACAGTTTAGTACCAATTTCGACAGTGCACGGGACTAGATACTCCGCATATCTAATATGTTATAAAACATTTTAAAGCAATTGGGTCCCTAAACCTCTACCATATTTGCGTGTCTCACGATTTACCAGAAAAGAACACTATTTCTATGTACGATTCTCTGATCAAATACAGAAAAACTGACCGATGATTAAAAAGAAAGATCACATCCAAAAGAAAAACAAAACAAAAGGATTATAAGCAATGTGGAAAGAAAAAGGAACCAGGGATAAACAAAATGAGCGCCCCACCTTTGACCGAAGAAAAATATGCTGTGAAGCTGGTGAGACTGGAAGGACATTGTGCATTTTGAAATCCTCCCGACATATACCGTTCCTAATAAGATAAATTAAAGGCAGTAATAGATGAAGTTTGGAATTAGACAAACGGAAATAGTGTTGTCTTATAATCGAAAAATGTCAGAACTTACTTTTCTTTGCAGAACCAGTAGAAATTGGTAAAGCTATATCTGCGATACACACCTGACTTTTAACTTGCACTTTCATATCATCCATTATTTCGCTCCCTATGAAATTCACTTAATTAGAACAAAACCTCTAATTTTCTGGAAACATTTAAAAAGACACTTAGGCTAGTTTATCACCAAGAAAGATGAAAATTTATACGAGGTTAGGAATCGTTAATCTGCCTCAAACATGACTAAAATTGTGAAACATAGCTTCGTTCTTTTCGACACAAGTCAGATTGAAACTAATGATGGAATTGCATTATATCAATCTTTGAAGCAAGAAGGATTTTCCCTGCTTTGAGAACAGCATTTGAAATGTTTTTTCTTATGTAGTGGTGGTGGTGTTGGGGGAGAGGGTTCGAACACCGGATACATACATTTTAATATGGAAATATTCTTTTAAACGTTTTTAACAGGAAGTTTTTTTTTTTGTAAAATTGAAGTGGAGATTTTGTTTCTTTCCATTTGAAGGTTTTTAATACCACGACAATTTCTGTTTTTTTAGAAACCCTCTAACTCGTCGGAATTTTACTCAAGCCTAATAGAATTTTAGTTCGTTTGGTTTGTTTTGGCCTGTTTTACGGTATATCAACCTCAATGGGTTATTTAATGCCGACAAAATTTTCATTGCTGGTAATATTGTTTTCCAAAAATCTATTTCTGGTAATATTTTTTCCTTGAAAAAATTATTCTGGTAATATTTTTCCTTCAAAAAAACATTTCTGTTAATATTTTTCCTTCGCTGGTAATATTGGTATTTCAGAATTTATAGTTAATAATATTTTTTTTTTTTTTTTAAATATATTGCTGGTAATTTTTTTTCAAAAATGATTTTCTGGAAATAATTTTTTTACAAAGTATTTCTAGTATTAAAACCTATTTTTACACTTTTATAGTGTTTTGACCCCAGTTTGGGGGTTAACTATTTGCCCATAGCTGGGACCCTAACAGGTGCTACCAACACGGGTCAGGATGGTTGATTTACTTCATACCCCAATGAGTCAAGTTGTGACACAAGGTCAGTTTTATCGTGGAGACCCGACTGTCTCCTTTAAAGCCGCTGGTCTTAGCTGGTCATAGCTTGTCTAAGCTGTTCAGAACTGATCTAAGCTAGTCATAGCTGGTCCAAGCTG